CGTTTGCTGCTGCATCAGCAGCGAGGTGTACATACACCGCAGCTGTCTTGTGGGGTGCAACCAAAGACAAGGCCAAGTTTAGAGGTAGGGTCCTACACATATAAAATAAATAAATAAATAAATAAAATAAATAAATAAATAAATAAAATAAATAAATAAATAAATAAATATAATAAATATAATAATATAATATATTATATTATATAAAATTATATGATGGGTAATAGCTTAAAATAATATAAATTAAAGGTAAACTCCTATACATATAAAAATAAATAAATAAAATAAATAAATAAAATAAATAAATATAATAAATAAAATAAATAAAATAATATATAATAATATAAAATATAATAAAATTATATAATGTAATATTAGATAAGTTAAAGAGAGACTCCTATACACAAAATAAATAAAAAAAAAAAGATATAATAATATATATTAAAATAAAGTAAAGTAGTATATAATATAATATAATATAATATAATATAATATAATATAATATAATATAATATAATATAATATAATATAAAGTAAAACAAAGGGAGGCTCCTATAAACATAAAAACAAAACAAAACAAACCAAAACAAAACAAAACAAAACAAAATAAAATAAAATAAAACAAAATAAAACAAAACAAAATAAAATAACTAAAATAAATAAAAACAAGATAAACAAACAAAACAAAACAAAATAAATAAAAACAAAATAAACAAACAAAATAAAACAAAACAAAACAAAACAAACCAAAACAAAACAAAATAAAATAAATAAAAATAAAACAAAACAAAACAAAACAAAACAAAAAAAATAAAAAAATAAAATAAAACAAACCAAAACAAAACAAAAAAAATAAAATAAAAAATAAAATAAAATAAAAAAATAAATACCCAGATGAGTCATCACCAAAGAAAACGAGCGGCTGCACGGGCAGCGGCAGTTTAAAAAAGTTATAAGCAACCTCAACGCCTTTGAGTCCCCTTAATAGTTTTTTTGCTCTTTGCTGCTGTCTCCGCTGCTGCTGCTGCTGCTGCTGCTGCTGCTGCTGCTGCTGCTGCTGCTGCTGCTGGTTGTGGTGGTTGTTGTGGTTTGCTGCTGCTGCTGCTGGTTGTGGTGGTTGTGGTGGTGGTGGTTGTGGTGTGCTGCTGCTGCTGCTCTCTCATATAT